TCCTAGCTACTTGGGAGGCAGAGATCAGGAGGATTGAGGTTCAAACTAACCTATTTGGTTTGTGAGACCCTAACTTGAAAATACCCAACACAAAACAGGGCTGGCAGAGTGCCTCAAGTGGCAGAGTGGCTGCAAGCATAGAGACCCTGAGTTTAAGCCCCAGTATCACACACAAAAGAGAATCCTGATGGGGCCAGGCACTGGTAGCTCACATCTGTAATCCTAGCTACTTGGGAGGCTGAGATTGAAAGGATTAGTTCCAGGTCAAGGATCCCAGACCAAAAAAAAAAAAAAAAAAAGATTCCATCTTAATAGAAAAAAGCTGCATGTGGTGGTATAAGCCTGTCATTCAGGCAACAGTGGGAAGCACAAAAGAGGAGGCTCCAGGTCCAGGCTGGTCTGGGCAAAAAGCAAGACCCTATCTCTAAATAACCAAATGTGGTTCAAGTGATAAGAGTCCCTGCCTAGCAAGCATGAAGACCTGAGTTCAAACACCCAGTGCCACACACACACACAAAGTGATCAGGTCAAGGTCAATGAGGGCTTTGCCCTTGTGAATGCTTTTATAATGAGTAGGTTTGTTGTAAAAGTGAATATGGCCCCTGTACCATGCTCTCACTCCTTTGCCCTTCTGCCTTCCACCATGGGATGACACAGCAAGAATGTCCTCCTAGACACCAGCCCCTTGATCAGTAGAACTTCTCAGCCACCAGAACTGTAAGGAATAGATCTGTGTTCTTTATCACCAGTGGTCTTGGTATAGCTGTGTTCTTTATCATCAGTGGTATTGGTATAGCAGCACAAAACAGACAAGACAGCCCTACCTTGTGTCATGTTCCTCCCAAACCCTATTGCTGTATAGCTCAAGATTGCATTGAACATATAGGTTAATTTACAGATAAATCATTTTTTCAATACTGGAACTTCTTATCCAAGAACAAAGTGTGCTCTCTGCCACGTGTTCCTCTGTGCCACTCAGCAGGGTCCCCATGTCCATCGTGCACATGACCTGTTCCCACTAAAACTTACTTAGGCATTTTAAGTTTCCCCTGTAAATAGACCTTCTATTTCTATTTTGGTTTTTACTTGCTATCTTCATGTGGAAGTCACTGATTTTTTATATTAATTTTATAATTACTTACTGAATTCTTGATATTGAGCTGAATCCCTTTGTCTAGACACCTAGCATTTGAAGTAACTTGGCCTCCCATTTTCCAAACTGTGTATCTCTATTCTGCTTGCTAATCACATTGGCTAGTATTTCCAGAATAATGTTAAATAATCATGGGACTGCATGTTTACTAAGTGTTCTTGGTTTGCAATTTGGGAAATTCATACCAGTGAAATCTGATATAAGCGATCATTGGGGAAGTATGACTTTTAAACCTTTATCAGATCATTCCTTCAATCTGGCCTGAAACACCCTGCTTATTTCCATGATCCTGACAGAATATGAAGCCAGTAAAATTTCCTCAGATTCTGTGAGCCAACCTGGACCTCCATGCTCAGTAATTCCTTCTGCATTTTCCTACTGCAGCCTGATGGCTTTGGCTCAGGCTGGCTAAGACGGGCCACTCCCACTGAGAAGTTGTCCTTATCTGTGTGTCCTATTTCTGCACACGGTAGGTTCTAGACAAAAGGCTCTGTGACTCTTACCATTTGAATCTTCCCTCTGCTACTGAAGAAATAAGGATCTTAGCAATTAATATCAGCCTTTTCCTCTCACCTGCCTCCTCCAGTAGTGTTTAGGGAGAAAAAATGTGCTCTCTGCTTTCACTGGCTGGTCTCTGCTGCAAATGCCAGGAACTGGGCAAAATCAGCCATGGTCCTAGGTTTTCTTTCCTTCCCTTCCAAGTCATAATAGTCTTGAGACAGGGTCTCGGAATGTAGTAGCCCAGGTTGGCCTGGAAATAGCCATCCTCCTGCCGAATGCTAGGATTACAGGTATGCCCCACCACACCCTGTAGCAGGATGGTTTTCAACGAAAAGTTGAACCAAGGAAGAAGTGGTTGAAAATGTGTTTATTTTTCTTCAAATGATCTTTTTCAAGCAATAAATAAAAACAGACATGTTGACTTTTCTAAAAAAACAAAACCAAACCAAAAAATCCCCTAAACTATATACATCCTACAGAAAAACAGGCATATCAAATGTAGAAATGACACCACTCTGAAAGATGGGGCTATTTACACAAGTTACAAATATTGCATTGCCGTCTTGTAGAAGTCTTCTCGTGAATGACTCCTAAGCTCTAAGGAAGGAAGGGTAATAACAGGGGGAGGGGAACTGCCAAAACAGATGCTGTCCGTCTTTCTTGATGTACAAGAAAGTTTCAGGGAAACACATCAACACTCAGGAACTGGAATCTAGTTCACTACCCATGCTTAGCAGGTCAGCTGGCTTTTGAAACGTGTAAGAGGGTGCCCTATTCAAGAGCTCCCCAGAGAAACCGTCTCATCCCCCAGCCAGTTGGGACAGAGTTAGGACCATGCTAAGCCAGTGACAAACCCCTGGCTGTGGTTACTGAGGCAAGCCAGCTCTGTGTTACAAAACCTGGCCCCCAGAAGCATCCTGAAATCCAGAAAGTCTCCCAGACTTGGCTACACACAGGAAGCACCTGGGGAACACTGAAGCATGCTGATGCCTGGGCCCCACCCACAGAAATCTGTGATCAGGATTTTGAAGGTTCTAATGGGAAGCCATGGTAAATTACTACTTCATTACTACAGGCTGTGTGGCCAGCTCCCCATCTTCTACCCCTTCCCCTTGCATTTGGAATCAACCATTCTCCCTCCCTCCATCCACCTTCCCAAGGACTCCAAGTTCTTTCCCATGACTTCCCAACCTTGTTGCAAACTGAGCACCTGAGTACAATGACCTCAGGGAGGAATGACTGCTCCTCAGTGTTCTGTGGAAGAGTCCAGCTGGTTCTTCCATCAACACCCATGGGTGAGATGACTCCAGAAGGGAACTGACAGCCTTTCTCACTCTCTACGTTAAATATCCAGTTTGCCCATCTGTAGCATTTGTGGCCAACAGCCCACCTACCTGGTCATCAGTGAAGAGTGGCAATGCTTTCTGCCACTTCAGAAGTTCCCCACTGCCAAAAATCACCTCAGGGAGGGACAGCTGCCTGTTGAAACTCACTGACCATTTGGTCCAACCTTGTGATAGCATCTTCATTAGAGCTATTCCAAGCCATCAAAGAGGCTTCCAGTGGGAGAATAACAATAAAAGGTCTCCCTTTTCAATCAAGCCAATGTCCTACTTTATTTCTAAAAGTTCCAAGACTCATGCTGTTATCAAGTACAAAGAAAATGACTTTATGAATAGCCACTGACATTGTCATAGAACACTTGAATTGCACAGCAGAAAAAAAGACATCTAGAGCTAGTCCTGAGGTCCCGCTGTCCGTGTGGTTGGGATCCAGTTTGGGAACAAGGACAGATTTGGCAAATGACCACTCATGGTTTAAAAGGTGAACCTATCTTCAGGCTACCTGCCCTTCGCCCTCCAGTAGCCCCTCCACTCTTGGAACCCATGGCTTTTTCAACTACAAACCCACTTGACCTCTTAATTTTCACTGGACATGAAGCAACTTCCAGGAAGGAAAAAGTGGAAATGTCTAACCACACAGTCTCTAAATGGGCCACTGTCCGGGAGCCACAGCTCCTTCTTGCCTCCCTATCATCAGTTCAGTGAAGTTCCCAGGGAAGCAGAATGCCTCAGCTTTTCTACAAACAGGAAGCAGGAACTCTGGCCTCACCCAAAGACTGGGCTTGACACAGGCAGGCAGAACGGATGATGCCAACACAGGTCCATGGTTCACAAAAGGAAATGTAATGAATCTAGGCCTGTCTGGGATGCTGGATGAGAATGAGCACTCGAACACGATTGTGACATTGAGGCTTGAAGTTACTTATGGGTGAGCAACAATGTTCAATGAGATAGATTCTCAACGGGCTTAACAACAACAAAAAAATGCTCTCATTTCTAGACAAGTTTGCAATGATCTCTATTCTGGCACTCCATCCCAACACTGTTCCACATTACAAATGAAGTAACACATAGCTTGTTCCCTCCTCCCTCCCCCCAAGCCCTCCCCCAAGAGAATATCCTCCCCCTCCCAAAGCCATTTCTCTATTTGGAAAGCTCCTTAAAATGGTCACAGCCCAAGAAAGGGTTCAAAATGGCTCCCGAGTTCCCAGGATGCATTTGGCAGTCAGCCCCCACCCACCAGTGCTCTCTTGCCCTTCCGGATTTCAAAGAGGCCTGAAACATGGCATCTAGTCACCTATTTAGTCAAAAAAAGGGCCTTTAAAAGTATTCACCAAACAGGAATTTAATAATGCAAGAATTTTCTGGTATATTTCAAGTAAATCCCCTAAAATTAAAAGCTCCTTTATATGCAAAAGAGAGAAGATGGTACTCCAACTTACAAAAGGATTCGTTTCAGGTATATCTCTAGTAATCTGGCTTGCCCCATGGCCTTCCCAAATAATGAGCCATAGGGGAATCTGAATTGCACCCAGTTTTCCAGGAGCACCTTATGGAATATGGCATTTATCACAGACGACATACAAGACCTAAGCAGGTCTATGAGAAAATGCTCCAACCACCCAATTGATCATTGGAGAGAAAAGGATGTCTGGTTGTGTTCTATGTGCCCAGGAACCAGGCTGCAAAAGTAACTGACAAGTACTCCTTTCCTTTCTGTCTCCTCCCACCCATCCTGTCTGCCTCTCGGTGGCACCAAGTTGAAGGGCATCACCATGCTGACTGGCACACACAAGACACCATTTAATTCCTCACTGCTTGGACATCTGCATGCTACTATGCTCCGATGTTTGACGTCCACATAAATATATTCTAAATTTACTGTCACTAAACTCCCTGTACTTACACTCTGAGGAAAGTCTTAATAAATACTTTTATTTATTATTAGGCATAATTATTCACCCCTAGGTGAATTCACCCCTTGGTGAAAACCAAGTCCTAAATTTCTTTTACAAAACAAAATTTCTGTGACCAACAACAGCAACAGGACAAGCACACAGGACCAGGCACTTCTGGCAAACTTGTTTTCTTCTTTTCCTTTTCCCTCCCTCCCTCTTGCCCCCCTTAATAAAATGGGTTGGGCACATTTGCCAGGATCTGGGGGGTTCATAACTTCAAGCCTTACTGTTTAAAAAAATGAGGTAAGAAATTTCTACCTGAAAAGTAAAACTGACACATAAACCAAACCAAGGACTTCCCTGGCTGCCGATGCTGGAGTTATTGCTCTATGTTGGAGTGTTTCGTTTGTTTGTTTTTAATGTGTATTCAAAGTCCTTATTGCCATTCTAGCTGGCCCAGTAGTTGGCCAAGAAGAAATGGATGAGGACAGCCCTCCCTGTCAGTCCCTACTTGCTGCCCACACGTGGCTTATGCAACCCTGGCTAGGAGCCAGCTCTGGTTCCAGGGGTTCTGAGCCTGGCTCTAACAGCTGGGGGAGGTGGTGATGGGGCTATGCAGGTAGGGGAGGCTGCTGGGGGCCGAGTGCACACCCACCGAGACGGGGAAGCTGAAGACAAACTGTGAGGTGGGGGTGGGGGTGGCTTTGCCCCGCTCCCGCAGGGGGCCCGAAGGGCTGGCGGCCTCCACCGCACAGGATGGGGCCAGCACCTGGGACTCGAACTGCAGCAGCTGCCCCATGAAACTGAAGTTGGGCGAGATGATACTCCGGCGTTGCTTGACGAACTCAAACGCCTCCTCCAGCCTCACCCGCTTCTTCATCATCAGGTAGGCCAGGCAGATGGTGGCCGAGCGGGAGATGCCAGCCTGGCAATGCACCAGCACCCGCCCACGGCAGTCCTTCACTGCATCTGGGGCAAAGAGCACGACATGATTAGAGCTTCATCCTTCCCCAAGTGGCAGGTGCATGTCACATAAGCCAGGACATGGGGGAAGAGGAGAAGCGTCGGAGATGGGGCCTCCCTGTGATGGGACAGCCGTAAGACTGGGGAAAGAGAGGATAACTCCAGGGTATTTTCTAGGCTTAACCAAAAAAGCACTAAAAATTGCATTTACAGTCACTCAAATCCCATCCATCTACATTCAGTGGTTTCTACTTGCAGAAACAAAACAAGGACCCAATTCTTCTTTTGTCCTCCCTGCTATGCATTTAAAGCCATGCACAGGTAAAGAGTTCATCTCTCCTCTCCCACCCCACCCCACATCCAATGGGTGGGTCTTCCTGCCAGGGTAGAGGGAACTAAATGACTGTGCTTATAGTGCCTTCTGAGTTCCACTCACAAGACATGTGGTCCTTCTCCCCCCTGCCTCAGACGTGGTAGCCTGGGGCAAGGCCAACCTACCAATGTACTCAATGGCCTCCATGAACCAGGAGCTGATGTCAGCCTTGTGGTTGTCCTCCACTGGGATGCACTTGTACTGGTAGTGGCCTTCAAAGTGGTTTGGGCAGTCCGAGGAGACATTCAATAGGGCTGTAATCCCTAGGGCGTCCAGCATGTCTCTCCGTGCAGCGTGGTAGGCACTGCCGAGGTAGAGGAAGGGGAGGATCTCCACAGGACCCCCCTGCATCAGAAAGGAGACACGAAGGCCCCCAAACAACATGAGTGTAAGGCAACCCTTTGAAAAAGGGCAGAAGTGCTTAGGACAGAAAGGGACAGCCAGTCTAACTGGGGATTTCTGGACCATTAATATCTCCTCTTGGAGCTCATCGTACAGATGGATGGCCAGGCTCCCTGGGACTTCTCCTGTCTTCACATTCTGGCAGTGGGCCCAGAAGCCAGGTCCGGTCAAGCCCATGGGTACCACCTGTTGTATCGAGCAACCTACCTCCCCAAAATCAAAGAGACCACAAGCATTGTAGGAGTTCACACCTGCCATTATCAAACTCTGTGTGGTGTGGTTTGCAGAATTATTTAGCTGGCTATGTCTTCACTTAGCACATCAAAGACAAGATGCCCAGCTTGTCCTCACAGGCAAGGGACAGTGGTCACAATGAGGCAATACTGGCCTAAATTCATGATGATATTTGCAGAGCTGGGCTCTGTTACTTCACTCCCTGTCCATTTAACTGAAAAGGGTGTAGCAGTGGGGGCTTGCAGGGGCTCCATCTGACTTTCATGGAGAATGGTGTGGCTAACTATTTACCAGTCCATTAGCATTTATGACTGGCCAGCACGTGAGGGTCAGCCTGACTGTTGGAGGGACCATAGATTCATTCCATGACCTACTCCCAAGCAGGGTATTCTCTCAGTTTCCTGAGGTATAACCACGCATAACCACAGAGGCTAAAAGCAGGGTGTGATGGTACATGCTTGCAATCCCAGCACTTAGGAGGCTGAGGCAGGAAGATTACAAATTTGAGGCCAGCCTGGCCTACCTAGGGAGACCCTGTCTCAAAATACTAAAACTCTGTATTTTGCAGGGGTGATGTCTTTGTTTTTTTTTTTTTTTTTTTTGGGGGGGGGCCTTCACTGGGAGTAAAAAGAGAGGGAAAAAGAATTCCTAGGAATCAACACACCACACATAGCATCCCAACCCAACACTCAGGGTTCTCCATATTTTCCTCAAAGTGAAGCACGGCGTTTGAAGCCTTAGAAATGCTGGAGCTCTGAGAAGACCCCTGGTCCTCCTCTCCCTCCTGAGCTCTGAGCTGATTTTACCTGGTCGTGCTGGGGCGTCCCACAGGAGCTACAGCCCAGGTCCAAGGACTCTGAGGCACTAGGGGGCACAGGAGGTGGGATGGCGGCCAGTGCCTTGGTTTTGGAGCAGAATTCTGGGTACTCAGAGGAAAACCTCTCATAGCCACCTGTAAAGGAGTAAGAAATTCAGGTTAATGGAACCACCATGGAGGCAAAAAGAACTGGAATCCCACCAGGCTGAAGGTGACGGTTATCTCCATAAGTGCCACTAGGTGGCGATGTGGGTCTAGAAAGAATGGCTGCAGCATTTTCCAGAGAAGCAGTCTGCCTTTACCAGGACTGTATGGAGGCCTTAGGAAAGCACATAGACAAGACCAGTTTGGGAAGATGTGTAGGGATGTGCTGAAGGGACTCCCCAGATTCTTCTCAGATTGATGGCAAAGCACAGGAGAGGGACCGGCCACCATGAGTTCCATGAGTGCTAAGGCAGCCTGCAGGTCAGTCATGTCCTGGGCCAGTGAAGATGCCTGTCGTCCTGTCCCAGCTCCAGCACTTCCTCTGAAGAAGTTCTACCGTAGCATCAGTCCCGTTGGGTCTGAGATGGGACAGATGCCAACCGCTGGCCTCATGAACAGCTGCTCCATCAACAAGGGCCCCAAACAAGATGAAACGGCCACATCTGAACACATCCCTCCTGCCACAAAGGTTTGGAGCAAGGGCGGATTTCCTGACCAGAGCCCAAGAAAGGCTATCTGTGGCTCATCTTCCACGGAAGGAAGGGCTATGAAATTAAAAAAAGATAAAGGGCTCAGTTATCTGGGTCAACTGAGCCTGAAGGCAGAGGTGGGCAGACAAGGACTCCACACACAACGGAGCCAGTGTCTCCGATTTCCTTGTGATCTCTAGAACTTTCTTTGCTTGTGGGCAACTTCAAGAGTCAGTGTTTGGCTCTACCTTTTGCAGTTTTTGTAGCAATTGTATTCATTCAGCAGAGTCTGCATACTGGGGAACAACTACCCTCACAAATGACCCACTGGACTGAGTAAAATGACAGGGGCAGATGGTCCCCCAGGTAGCCAGCTCCTTCTCATCTTTGTGGCTGCAATAAAAGGACACAGCTCCTTCCAGCTGTTTCCAGAAACTTTCCAATGCGCAGACCTGTGACAGTTAGTCAAGCACATGCTCTAATCCCAACCCTAAAACACTGCTTCCTACCGCTTCTGAGAGGAAGGAAAATGATTCTTTGCCACATCATAAGGTTTACAGAAACAGGGCACCCATTTTTTCCTCTCTGACCCGAGGCGTCTGTTCCCCTTCATTCCCTCCCTCCCTCTGGATATAAATGGGTATCTCTGTGGTCACAGCCCTCTTTCCTGCTGAGTCACAGTGACCAGCCTCAGGATGGAAAACCTGTTTGCAGGGGGGGGGGTGCTGCCAGTTTCAGATGTACTGGTGGCCTCAGTGGCCATCCCATTCCAGGAGCACCCCTCCCTCCCATTAGAACCCCCATTTGTCCCCTTTCCTTATGAGGCTGCAGACCTACTGCCCAAAATACAGCAGTTAAGTCTCAGGGAAGAAGCAGCCAGTCAGTGTCTGCCAGTAAAGTCCTCCAGTGGGCCTCCGTGCCCATCGGAGAGGCCCTGGTGTAGGTTTACTCTCTGCTTTGGAGAAAATGGAAGAGGAAACTGATCAAACAAACTGTGGTTGAATACCTCTATCAATAGACATTGCTTGTTTGTATACTAAGGGATCTGAAAAGGTTTTAACAAAATTGTATTTATGTCTAGTACATAACTTGGGCTCTCAAGAAGTACAAGCTTGTGAGTGGTAGGTGGCAAAAGCTCCCCACCTAGAAGGCAGAATCTAAGGCCACAGAGCTGGAGCCCCTCAGGGAGCCTCAGAGAAGGGATGGGACTGGACCAGCCTGAAGTTCCAGCAAAGCAAAGGCTCTGCAAGTAAGGATGAATCTCAACCCTGCTGAGTCATCAGCTGTACAGCCTGCGTCCACCACCCAACTTCTCTGAGCCTCATCCTCAGTGGTTAAAGGTTGATTAATTTTCCCTTGCACAGAGTCCCTGGAAGACTGACTCAGACAGCTAGTGCTCTGCGCCTGGCACCAGGCAGATGCGTAATGGTTTCCCTTCTTGGCACCTACACGGAGAGGTGCCCTCAACAGAGATCTTCAGAGAGGAACAGGGGACTGGTAACTTGCCAGACTTCTGACAGCCCTCTTTCCTGGGCTTTACTGATGTGTTCCAGGCAGTCTTGAGACCTGGTAGACAGAGGAAGGGCAGGTCCCACACTTCCTGAACTCTACATTCCCTTCCAGCAAGAGCATCCGCCACCTCCTGGGGTCAATCAAGATTGATGGCTGGCTCAGCAAAACCCTAGAGGTGAGACCCACGGCCAGTTGCTGACCATGGTGCAGTGGGCAGGAAGAGAAGGCAGCAGAGTGGCAGAACTGATGGCCTAAGAGGTAGAGCAGAAGCCACACCAGGCCTGAGATGGACCTTGTGTCATCTCCTCAGGCAGATGATAAACAGGGCAGAGAGACAGTGACTGCCTGGAAAAGGCACCCCTATTGCAGACCAGAAAATGATCACTAAAAAGTCAGTTCCCTCTGGGGAATCAAAAGAACAAGCAGAAAGGAACTGAACAAGACACAGATTAGCCCAAGGGTTGGAGCCTTGGAAAGTTCTCTCTGACAGCAGCAGCTGCATAACGGGTTTTGTCCCCTGAGCTGCTGCTTGCCTGGAGTTTGTAACTGATTGTTACAAGAAGCCACAGAGTCAAGCTGTGCAGAACAATAGGTGCAAGATGGAACCTATCCACAAGATAGAAGAAACCACTCAAGTCCACACCTGACATGGTCACGTCACACCCTGGAAATCATCTCTGGGTATGATCTACGTTCATAAAAACTACAGCCGCTGTGAGGAAGGAATGCTTACCATATGCCAGGCTCTCTTCACCTGTATCCACCAACCAGCCCCCAGGGCTTTTGCACAAGCTCCAGTTTTATAGACTAGAAAACCCTTATGCCTATAAGGAAGCCAAGAAACTTGCCTGGGGGCAGGTAAGGGCAGGGCCAGCATTGAGCCTGGTGGCCTCAAAGCCAAACTTCTACCCTGACCATTTTCTCTGCCTTTCATCCTTCCCAGTGACCCTGCCCTCAGGGTCATTGCCTGATGGCTTCATCAAGTAACACACAGACCTCTAGTCAAAAACAGAACAGACCCCAGCAGGGCACTGCTGACATTTCACCAAACTCTGATCCTATCCAGGAGTTCCAGAGGGGTCATTAGGAGACCCAACCAGCATTTTTTAAAAAAGAAAAGAAAAAGATTACAATGAACAGGAATGTATAGACTGAGTTGCACTGATTTAAGGAGTATATCATTTCACAGAACTTCTGTAACAGGGGTGCATGTACCCCCTCTGATGGCCCATGATGTAAACTTAACTATTTCTTTCCTTTTTTTGGCAGTACTGGGGTTTGAACTTAGGGTTCATGTTTGCTAGGCAGGCACATCTACCACTTATGCCACTCCACCAACTCCTTTTTAGTGTTGGGTATTTTCGAGATTGGGTCTCGAGAACTACTTGCCCAGCTGGTCCCAAACCTTGATCTTCCTGATTTCTGCCTCCTAGGTAGCTAGGATTACAGGTGCAAGCCACGGACCCCAGCTTCAACCTGTTTCCTAATGTGCCTGGGTAAAGACATCTCCAAGACTCCCCTCAGCCCCTCCTACTGATCCTCTTATTCATGTAAGTACCACAGCCCTTTTGGGAAAAAATCCAGGTTTAGATCACCAAGCTTTATACAAAACTTATTCCCACCATATACCCTGTGCCTCTGGCAGTTGACCAAGAACAAATGGAGACAGATCTAGGGGTAGATCCCAGCTCTAGCTGTGAAGAACAGGCACCTGCCCTCCTAAAGACTTTTTTCCCATCTCAAAATGTTAAGAATTTCAGGCTATATAATGAGCTCTAAGTTCCAATATCGTGGGATTCTAAATGCCCAAGATGGATCAGTTCCTGGTTAGCTTGGGCAGCTCCCAAGTAGCAAGGACCTAAAATATGCATTTTTATCTTCTGAATAAAATTTCACAACAAATGTGACAATGAATCTTGACCTGTTTTTTTTTTTTTTTCTATCTACTATTGAGGATAATTTTGTACCAGATTTCTTCCTAATTTTGACCTGTTTTCCCCATGTCCTTACTGAAGAACACATTTCTTGTGGGTCCAGAGGGAGAGTACTGACCTGGCATGTGGATCCCAGCACACACGCACACCTCCTATATTCTTAAATCTCTCCGTTATAAAGTCAAGAAGGAAAAAAGGAATGATTTTTACCAGACTAACCTGTGACGTAACTATACCAATAGTTAAGCGCTGTGAACTTTCTTCTTCTCACACACTCACACAGGAAGGCAATGTCCATTCAACATTTCGTGACCATGATGGTCCCCTAGTCACAAATTCTCCAGTACAGCTGCCGCCCTGCAGTGGGAGATAGTGTACCTAAAAGTGCTTTTATAAAGGGCTGGTAGTATCACAAAAATAGGACTTCTAATGGGATCTGGGATGGAGAACTCGGGGTGGTAACTATGGCCATGGATCTAGTGGGCCGGCTACCTTTTTTTCCCCATCACTCTCTCAATACCTGTTCCCAGACAGGGCCAGTGATCTTGCTCCAGCCCAGGAAAAAAGTCCTGGGTTGTTTGAAGGTCATTTACCTTTTGGAACTTCACTTTATGTGAGTGTAAACACCCATGCAATTGCTGAGCAGTGTCACACACCTTGGAACTCCGAGCTCAGAGAGACTGGTCCTTCGAGGGCCAGCTGGCTGACCCCTAACGCCCTACTTGGGGGCTTCACCTTGTCTGCTGTCCCTCCCATTCCCCCTGCACTATCTGCTATGTTCAGCAGGCTGGCTTCCAGTGGAGAACAAACTTGTCTTCCTGTCATGCTTCCCCTTTGTGAGCCAGGAACTGATTCCCAGTAAGGAAAACAGCTATCTAGTTTCACATGTTCTGACTTTTTAAAGGAATTTCTTGGCTCCTTAAATGGCCACCCTTTCTCCCTCACTTTTCTGGTATAGCCCATCTGAGAGGGTGTGGCTCTCCCCTCCTACAAGATCAAGGACAAGTCCAAGAAAGCTGTGATGGTCTTCAGATTCAAGGCTGCACTCTTAATTCACATCTATGCCCTGTCATTAGCTACTCTTGTTGGCTTGGAAACATCCAACTCACTTGGTGACAAAGTTATGAATTTGCTTCATTCATTATAATTATGTAATGAATGATGATAGGGGTGGGAAATTATTTTAAAGCCTACCATTTTATAATTCTAACACTCCCAGTCACTGGCAGCCAGGGGCATCGTGTTATATTTGCAAACAGAACAGCCAGTTATTTTTCCCTTGGGTACAAAAGACAGGAAACTAGGCAACCCTACAGCTATATTGTGGGATGCCACTAAGATAGCTAAAGATTAGGACAGAGAAAGAAAAGACAGTTTGCCAGGGTCCCGTGCTGAGCCCCTACTCCCACCCCATTCAATGTATGGTCAGGCCCAGGCACCAGTGAGCTCAAAACAGCTAGGTTAGTTTTGCAATCAGAACTTAAATAAGAACTGGCAAAGGTCATGAGGTGGCATTCCCCACAGGACAGAAATAAGATAACTTCTTTTTAAATATCTGGAATCTTTTTTAGACAGGGCCCTAGCTATGTAAGGGGGAGGGGCTGGCCTAGAACTTTCCATCCTCTGCCTTAGTCTCCTAAGGACTGTGATTATAGGTACTCACCATGACACTTGGCTGAAATCTTTTTGTATAATATATTAATTTGCTATTTGGGGATACTGGAGGTGACTTCTATTAGGGTAGGGAAATTTTCTACTTTAAAAAAAAACAGGAGAGCTAAAACTCTAATCCTAGTATTTATAAGGAGAGAAAGAAATCTGAAAGATGTGTACTGTCATATATCTGAAAAGCATTCTGAACTGTCCCTAAAAATGTCTGAGATTTTAAGTTAAAAGAGTTTTGTAAAAATGACCCCAATGGTAACCTTTACTAGCAAAAAGGAAAATACTGTAGGATTTTAGTTATTGCTTCTAGTGAGGCAGGTAATATTAGGAAGTATTAATATAGGATAAGTAGTGCTTTATTGATATTCAGTGAAGTTTTTTCCTGTCTTTATGAATTCTTGCTTGTGGGATCTGTTACTATCTGCAATGAGTAACCAATCTCCCTTTGAAGAGACAGAGATAGAAAAACTGAATTTTAAGTGTAATTAATTAGAATTAGATAGCTTTGGTTGGAAAGAATGACATCACTTTTGTTGGGTTTGTGTGTGTGTGTGTGTGTCCATCCCAAGAAAGGCAGACACCAACCATCAGGTCTCTCACTTGTCCACTGTCCTGCCCCTCTCACCGTAGGAGGGCCTACGGTGAGACATGAAATGAAAGGTACAGGAGGGACTTCATTTCCCATCTGTAAAATAAAATGAACAACTCCAGTGGGGAACAAATTACTCAACCCTTAATCAATTCAGGCATTTACTGGAGGTAATCTAAGGGGCTCTTTCGTCCCAATATTCCCTTTAAGGTCCTTGTTCCATGGTCTGGACCCAGGAAGCCACTCTTCCTCCACATGGAAGCCATGTGTCTTTGGGGACAGAGAGAGCCCTTGCTTTCCTCCCCAAATGGCACTTCCCACCTTCCTGCGGGGTGTGGTAGCAGGCACTGTTTCTTTCTGCCCTCTCTAGGGATGCCTTGCATCCCTAGCAAGCAAATGGAAGGGAGGGGAAAAGAGCCAAAGCCAGCTCTGCTCTGTACCGAAGCTAAGCTAAACTGAATGCAGGTCTAGTTAAACTCAAAAGACATTCGGCCACTGGTAAGAACAAGTGGAAAGATTTCCCTCACTCTGAATCTCAGGCCTTCGCCTGGTGGTGGTGGAGTGAGCAGTTCCTGAAAAGAAAGAGGCAAAGGGGCCCAGATCTAGGCAAGCTGAGAGAGTTAGAATTCTGCGTGTTCAGGCCTCCTCGGAGGAAATGTTGCTTTTCCAAAGGTCAGATACCTCGTCACCCACTAGGGGACTGTCATTTTGCTCTGAGGCCGCCTGTCCTACCCAGTCTTTACATCTTGAATCTCCAACGGCTCTCAGAACCGGTCTGGTTCGGGGGTCTTCCTACGATATTTGGTGGGTAGAGGGGGACAGAGAGGTGCCACGAGCCCAGAGGTTAAACCTTACAAATATGCCTTCCTCCCCGGGCGCGGAGCCTAAGAATCTGCGCCCCCGGAAGGAAGCCCAAGAGCCAAGGGCTGCCGCTCCAGGGCGGTCCGGTCCCCTCCAGTTTTCTTCCAGGAAGAAAAACAAAACATAACAAACCCTGGCTCCACGTGGGGCTGAAGTTGGCCCCAGCCCTGCAGCATCGACCCGGGTCCTGGGTTCCGAGGACTAGGAAGGACTGCGAGCGCTCGGGCTCTAAATCCGAAGGGAGTCAGGGCACCCCAGCGCCTCCTGGACTAATTTGTCATGGTCTCCATCAGCGCCAGTCCCAGGCGCGGAGAGCCGCAAGCTCTAACAATAGCTCATAGCCCACTCTGATGTCCTGAGCGGGACCTCCGAGCGAGGACGCGGGACGGGATGAGCAGCGCCCAGCTCACCGGGCTGAACTGCAGGGCACTCCAGGACAAGCCCCTTGCCGGCACTAGCTGCTAAAGCGCTCTGGGGACCAGAAAAGGAGGCTGGGCTCCGTTGGAGGTGCAAAAAGGTGGCCCACAAAGAAAAAGAAAGAAAAATCAGCAAAATCGCCTTAGTGGTTCAACCACAGGTCAACGGGAGCATTTCCCCAGCAGCTGACAGGTCAAATGGTCAGGAAACAACTGCTGACAACAAAGCCCCCCGCTGTTCGGCAGGGGCAAACACCGCCGCCCGGCACAGAGCAGTTTTGTGGCGCTTTGGGGAGGGGGCGGAGGGAGGTTTCCGCCCCCCCATCTCCCTTCCTCTCGGTGAACTGGGCGGGAGAGAAAAAGACTGGAGGAGGGGGCGAAGGGCGCCTACGGGGAAAGGAGTGGCTCTTTGATGGCGGGGATCTGAAAAGGCCCTCGGGTTCGGAAGCGCAAACCCGACCCGGGTAAAGAATGCGCGGAATGCGGCGGTGGGAGGAAGGGACCCCCGCGGCAGGGGGCGCCCTGCCCGCTCCACAGCGCCGGGGCGGCAGACCGGCCCGAGCCGGCAGGTGCGGCCCACGAGCAGTCCCTGGGGGTTTCTGACACGTCCCTCCCTTCCGCCACCGAATTTCTCCAGGGTTCACAGAAGTCAGGCACGAGATGGTGTCTGAACAAAAGGTCGTAATTCTCCGCTGCCAGGATTAGCAAGGAGCGGAGGCACGGTTCCTTCTGGCGACCCCCATGTACCCAGGACTCCCCCACCTCCCGCTTCCAGAGCACTGCTCTAGTCCGCGCAGGGAGAGTTGGCCCCCTTCCGGTCAATCTCCTAGTCGGGCAGCGGGAGACTACATACAGATCGCTCCCCCGAATGGAAGCAATGCCTTGTAACCCCATTCTCGTTTCGGCGATTACCAGTCCTGCCAGCGAGGCTGATCCCACTTCGGGCTCACCCTCCTAACCGCCCTTCCCCGTCTCTCGGGGTCCGACTAGGTACAGGGCCCTAGAACGCCGGGCCAACTGGCCTGTCTTGTCCCCTTTCGCACCGTGGTGGTTGAGAGCGCTTCTCGGGGCACGTAGATGGGCCGCGCAGCGGAGTCGCTCCGCGCTGCTGGCCAGAACCGTTACTGAGTGTCAATAAACGCTACGAAGGTGGGACGCGTGCGGAACTGTGACTTGGGAAACCCACTCGCACCATTCGTTCCTGAGGACTTGGGAGATCTCGCTTGCACAGAAACGCACAAAAACCTGGCAATCCCTTGCGCTCCAACAAGCACAAAGAAGCGCAAAGGGATCCCCACAGACAGGAGTCACTTCCTTCCCAACCTTAGTGAGGCGCCGACCGCCAAGCCCCATAACGTCTGCCCTCCAGCTCGGGCCCCGGCACCCATGTTTACCTTTGAGCAGACAGATGTCTGTGCGCTCGGCGTTACGGCGCAGCGCCTGCACTACCAGAGACACGGTGCTGTCCTCGCGGAGGCTCTCGGCGCGCGGGCTTCGCTCGTCGTAGACGATCACCGCCGAGTAGAGGCCCGAGCGCAGGCGGGAGCGCACCTCCTCCTCGGCGGGCAGGATCTGCTCCAGGCTCACAGAGCCCTTGGCCCGCCGCCGCACGATGGTGTTGCAGCGCACGTTGACCGAGCCTCGGATGTAGCCCGCGCTGTGCGCCAAGAACGGTCTGCAGTCCAGCAGCAGGCACTTGCCGCCGCTCAGCAGCCCCAGGGCGCCGTGGCTGCTGCTGCCGCCCGCGCCGCCGCTGATCTCGTCCCGGTTCATCAGCCTTTTGAGCACGCTGCAGTCCATCTCCCGCAGTTCCTCCATCGTCACCATGATCGCTGGGAACCGCGGCAGCTGCGAGCGCGAGGACACGAAGGGAACTCTCGGAGGGGGGCAGCTAGGTTACAGGAAGGGGCAAGCGAGGACTGAGGGGTGCCTGTGGAAGTGGCCGCGAACTTGGCCCTCAGAGGCTCCGCGGGCCAACCTCTTCTCCCCAGACCCTTTCCTCCCGCAGCCTCCCGGTCACATAGCAGTCCCAGCTGCCTCGAGCGCCAAAGCAGGCCGGCGCGCGGCGCGGAGGGGAAAGTGGCGGTGGAGGGGATTGTGTTTACTGGAGAGGACCACAGGCTCCCTTCGTTGTTGTTCCTAGTGTGTTTTGCCGGCTGGGCTGCTCCTGCCACCACCCGCGCGGACGCTGCCGTTCCCCACACCCCGCCGGAGCTTCCGCGCACTGGCCCATCCAGAGTTTCCTCCTCGGCTTAAAGATTTATTAATGCTCCTCCGCTCTCCCGGGGGAGGGAGGAGATTCATTACTACCTCGCCAGGCTCCGCCCCTTTCCATTATCGGCCTCGCGCCCGCCCCGCCCCCACTAGCGCCCCGCCCCGGCTCGGCCCCTCCTCTCGCCCCCGCGCGGCGCGTGAATGGAGCGCCGGCCACTCGCACCCAGTCACGGGAACTCAACGTCACAAAGAGAGGAGTAAACAGGCCGCTCGGTGCTGGCTGCCAGGCCCATTCATAAAACTGAGACCCAGAGGAAGAGGGAGGAGGCCTCCGACCCGCCGGCGAGCGGCAGCTCCCGGACTTTGTGAATGGAGCCCGGCGGCGCCCCTTCTTGTCAGCCTGCCCGCCCAGGTCTCCTCCGCGCGCTTCCTGCGGGACACGAGCCGCGGTGCGCGGGGCTCCACCCTGCTGCGCGGGGTTTGGCGATAGATCGTAGGCAGCCGGCATGACGGGGGCCAGGGCTTGGCTTTGAGGTTTATCACTTTTCGCCTCCGCGCTTCCCTGCTGAGCAGTGTCGCAGGTCCTCCCGCCGCCCCCGCACCGAAGTGGCAGAGGAACCGTCCACCGCTGACCACCCGGAAGGAGGGGTCCGGAACCTCCTGGCCCCAGGCTGACCGTGCGCAGCTCAGCCCGGCCAGTCGTTTTTTTTTTTCTTTCTTTTATAATGCGATTCCTCAGACCTTAGCTTCTGCATTAGCGTGATCGATTTTCATCCTAAGCCTTTAAATCAGCTTTATAGCTTCCCAAGGAACGTGGGCAAACCCCAATTTAGAAGATGAAAGAGAAAGCCCTCATGCCCGAAGCCCAGTAATAGGAGAAAGGTGTGGGGTTTGTTGCTTTACGACCCAGAGGGAGGCATTAATTGCAGAAATGTTGTTCCTATGCCGGAGAACTGGGCGGCATTCCAGTCCACGCTTCCTAAAAGATGTTTATTTAACCTTGGTAGGGGAGCAAACCCCGACGGTTTCAGCTCTGGGGGAAGTCCTCACCCTCTTCTTGCATGCATGTGAATTGTCTTCTCAGGAAATGAGATTTAGGGTCTGCATTTGGTGCGGAGCTAGACCTTGAAAAATGTAAGCTCAAAGAATGACCTTTGGAAAGAACTGAATGAGCTCCGGTCCGATTCGAGTTTCTGCAACCTTTTTCCAGGTCACGAAGCATCCCCGCCCCGGTTTTCCTCATACATTTGATTTCCTAAAGGCTGCTTTTGACAGAGGGGTCGTACGCGCACGCGGGAGGGATCTTACAGAAGCCAAAAATTATTTGCCCGACATCTTGCCAAGTCTTGTTAGCGAGAATTAATCACCGAACGAGGCGAGGGGGGTTACAGGGCTCGCTTGCGGCCTCGGTGACGACGAGGACGAATATTGCATCTCGGGTCACACGTGGAAAAGATCGAGGCAGCGAGGGCGGCCCTCCCCACTCTCCTTTGTCAGGGCAAAGTGGCTCTCCCGAGCTCTCACCTCCAGCCCCAAAGCCACACCCCTCCACTTTGCAATTGAGGTGCCTCCGCCTCTGAGGCCTTTGCTTCCACATCCCGCACCCCCCCCCCAATGCACTCCTAGATCCCCTAGCCATCAGTCCAGGTCCTGTGGGCTGTGAGGGGCGCTGCTTGTGCATGGGGATCTTTCCTTTTGCCTCGGGATTCAAAATGACTGGCTGGGTATGGCACTGCAATGAGCCTGTCTTTAAATTTTAAATTTTTGTTCATCATAGATTTTTTTCCCCACTTTTTTTTTTTAAAGCATTACATTAAGATATCAGTTGTGGCTACAGACTTTTTGGCGCCCCCTTCCTTTAATTTTGCGTCCGTTCACCCTAATCCTGACCCTAGAAGGGGCCACAATTTGCTTACTAACAGAGGCTGCTTGGTGGCAGGCCCTCAGGCACCAGACACTTGGGGTGCAAAGGCAGCAAAACGCACTCCCCACCCCCACCCCTCCACCCCTCTACCTACCCCCCCCACACGAACACACGAGTGGGGAGGACAAAGGCGGCCTTGGGCCCGTTCCTCATTCTACCGAGATGGCTGTGAGGCTCCGGCTCTGGCTAATGACTCGCTGTCGCTAACACACCGCGAGCGCGTGCCGTCCAAGGGGCCCCCCCCACGCCTGGACAGTCCCGGGCCACTCTCCCGCAGCTCGAAATCCGGTCTCTGCCAGGCCCCAGCGAGCCGGGAGCTCTACTGGCGCTAGATTGCTTTACAAAGGATTTGACAGGACATTTCTGGAAAGAGCCTCTCAGTCGGAGGCAGGTCTGGGCCAATTTCACACGTGCGCAGGAGCTGGGAGACGTCCTCGCGAGGCGCTGGCCACGCTCGGCTACCCTTTGTTTCCCCTGCGCTAGGGGCGCCAACCCGAGCTTAGCGCTCACGTGGCTCATAAATAACAGTCAAATCCCGGGGGAGGAAAATGCCCACAGAACAAAGAGTTGTTTTCTGCACCTGACAGTAATCCGTAGTAGCGAAGCCCATAAATCCGCAGGCAAGTCCTCCCAGAGGGGGTGTTAGCGGGCACGTGTGACGTGTGTGTGTGTGTGTGTGTGTGTGTGTGTGTGTCCACGTGTGCGTGCCTGCGCCTGCTCCCTGGAGGGGGGAGCAGCAACTTGGGACTTAGGACATTTAAGCCGAGAGCTTTTGTTGCGAACGTGATGTCCCAATTTTTTAAAGACATTAATAAAATAACAAAATCCCTTTCCCTAAACTCAGGTATTAGCCTTCAGCGGTGTGAATGTCAGCAAATGAGATTTAAATTACCGTATTATATGTCCGGATACTATGTAAGCACCCTGGATAATTGTCTTTTAAATTGAAATGTTTGAGCCATTTGGTCCATCAGTTAAATGAATACAACGTGAGGGCTAGCCAATATCGTTCTAGAGAAGATACAAAACTGGTCTCCAACTAGTCTGCAGACAAGAACCTTGTGAATCAGCGTGTCAATAAGCAGATCCTACAGAAAACAAAGGCATTTGGGAGGTATACATTACTTGAATGTCATTTCAAAGTTAATTTCATTAATTTAGGCATATCTGCAAGGATTGGGGTAGTACTGCCCAAGGAGAAGAGCTTATTTTATTCAGCAGTAAACCTCAGGGTGAAAATACTTTTAAAAATTCACTGTGACATGTAAGTCCAACTTCTCTTTCATCAGACAGTCCTTAGACCGACCTTATTAGTCATTGTCAAGCTCCCACAAAACCCTGGGTCTTTTTTAAGAACCTTTCTTTCCAATTAGGAAGTTGTGTGATCTGGGAATTCAGAGCCCTGAGTACAATCCCCTGGGAGGACTATGGCTTCCATTCTGGTTTTGATGCCAACTTCTGACTCACTGCCCTGTCCCAAAGTAACTGAATCAAGGTTGCCTTAAAAAATCATTAATGAATGAATAACCAAGGTGGTAATAGAAAAGTCTGGTGGATTCCCTGATTTCCTCAGCAAAGCAGACCATTGCTTCTTTCTCTGCTAGTGAAATGCTCACACTGGGAAGGCAAGTTATGCTTGAAGCAGAAAAGCCAACCCTGCCCCCACTGAGGCAGGAAGCACTTTACATGGGATTGAAAAATGTCTGTCCTTCTCTGCCCACCTCTGCCCACCAAATCAGGGCTCAAAAGCAGTGGAAAGGTCAGTATTTAGACTGAGCCTCACCAGAAAAGCCTCAAATGCAGAGCCTGGAGGGTTCTGATGTTGGTTTGGGTGCTGATTTTGTCACAGATCCATTTAGCACTCTCTTACTTATCTCCTATGGGTGACATCATAGCACTGACCAATGATTTAAAAGGCTGGGTTTCTAACACAGGTGCTGGCAAGAAGGTTTTCATGCATTCATTTATTTGCCACTTTATCTGAAAACTATTCCATCTAAGCTATACCATGATTTAGCTTGGTGGCCTTGGGCAAGCTCTCTTCCCTGGCCAAAATTTCTTCACCTGCAAACTGAAGCATTTGTGTAGGACAGTTTCCAGTCCCGTGCATTTCTAGCCCTGTCTGACACTGAGCAGTTGAGCCACTAGCAGCCCAAGCCCAGGCTTCACTACCCTTCCTGTCTCATCTTCCCAAAGCCAAGCACACTAAAATGCCATACATAAAAGGCAATCTCCAGCTCACTTCTGTCTCTCCTTTACAATATATATTCATGGGTGTATATATGTATATTCATAAGTATACTGACTATGTACTTATGGGTTCATATACTGTGAACCCAAAGTTCAAAGTGGGTTTTATTTTTTTATTGTTGTTGTTGATTTGGTTTGGTTTTTGCTGTACTAAGAATTGAACCCAAACATGTTAGGCAAGCACCCTACCACTTGAGCCATGCCTCTAGCCATAGTTTTAATTTATTTGTTTCACCAAGTGCTGTCCCAAGCATTCTGATAAAACTTTGGGGGCTTGGCCAGGCATGGGGACACATGCCAATAATCCCAGCACTCAGGAAATTGAGGCAGGAGGATGGTGAATTTGAGGTTAGCTTGGGCTACATAGCATAACCCAGCCAAAAGAAGGGCGGAGGGGTAGGGAGGTGACTTCAAGTTTTCAACAATAAATTTTGAAAACAAAATTTCCAAACAGGACCTAAGTGCAGACTCAGCCTTTTTAGTCACTCCAGCCATGCATATTTTCTTATTCATTTTTTCAACAAATATACCTCAGTGGGGGAAACAAAACCTTGGTGTAGCTAGGGTGTGATGGCTAATGTGTGATTTTGTGCTATGTTATCTAATAACCCTCCTTCCAGTAGAATGAATAAAATGCCAGGGAGATTCAGAACAGAACGGGATGGAACTGTGTTGTGGGACTAAGGAAATGGAAGACAAAAGACTACCACTTAAATATTTTCTTGAATGTTGTCCTTGACTTCTCTAGGAGTCACTTCCCACTCATTTACTGTTATCTTACCTCTGATATTCATTCTGCCCTTGTGTCATATTCTTTCCTTTTCATTTGTTAGTGTCTC